ATTTGCAGCCAATCAGAGACGAGATCTGCTGCACCCAGGCCATGGATGTGACCCAGGCACGCAGAAACCAGTATAACGCTGGCCGACATTTTAATATATGTTTGGGGGAGAGGGGCATAGTCCACGTCCATGTGCTTGTAACGCGTATGAAACAGGAAACACGTAAATGAACTCAGTCTGTCTAAAGTAGTTAAACCGTCACAATGTGCATTTAAAAAAGCTAGTTTCACTACATAATTCACTTTTTCTGTTCTCTCCTGCAGCTCCCGTACCCACACCACAAACCCATACACTGATCTACACCATCATAAAACCAACGGCACTTTTAAGAGCCAAACTCAACCTATCTCTCTGTCTATCTACCTACCTTTCTTATAGTTATTGTCTCTATCTTTTTCTATCATTCATTATCTATTTCTTCATCTATCCATCTCAATCTTACAATCTGTCTCTCTATCTCTGTTTGTCTCATACAGCAGCTGTTGCATATCTGTTGTTCTGTCTGGCTGGCTGGCTGGCTGGCTGTGTTGCAATGGCAACAAAACACAACCCAGACCCCAATAATCCCACATCCAAAGAAGGGAAACGCATGGCTCTTGAGCTGAAGCATGAACACATGCTAGCTGAAGCTAAGGTTGGTGTTTTAACCCATATGACCTCATTCATTTCCCACTTGAATTTGGCACTATCTGTTATCCAAAAAATGCTGAACAGGCCAAGAGTAACTGGATTTTGGATCAATGTATAGGGCCTTTGCAAAACGGTTCATCATTACAACATGGGGGGCAGAGGCTTACTAAATAAAGCTTGTTCAACTTGTTTTACTTCATTAGTTGTATATGGTAGGAAAAACTTGAAGCAAAAATGTTCTTCAAGTGAATGAATTTACTTTTATTTGTCCACTGTCATATGGTATCAGTTTATCAGCAACATCAACCTTACATGAGTTGTTACTTGGTCACAGAAAGCAGCTGAGGAGAGGAAACGGGCACGCTCTGTAGGAGACACTTTACAGTCCCCTAAAAGGGGCTGTGTAGGACGTGGCAAGCCGAGAGGGAGGCGTGGAGGGCGACGCCAAGGCTCAGCTACAGGTTGAAATCCCAATTATTTTACATTTTTATGAATTTACTAAGTAAATGGTTGGAAAATCGAATTAAAACACAGTAATTGCTTGTTGAGGGTCTACAATAATTCCAATATATAAACGCATAGTGACACTACAGTCGGAGACATTCCCACTGTGGTGTCATAAGAACTATGCTTTATTTAATTTCACAAGCTTTTAAACAATAGGTAGATAATACAAATCATCAGTTATCTGTTGTTAACCCTCTGTGTGATGTTTTACAGTCACATCCCCCCCGACTGAGGGCTTCCAGTGTGGAGGTTCTGCGTACTGAACCTTCAGCACAACACGAATTTGGTAAATCACAAAAATGGCTTTAAGTTTAAAACTAAAATCAATTTTTAAATAAATTGTGTTAGTGAGAGAAAATAACCTTATACACAACTGACAGTTCAGGACTCGAACGAGGAATGTAATTCAGTAAAGATATTGGCCAGTTCCATACTGAGCAAAGAAATGATCCTTGATTTTTAGTGTTCATCTTAAATATAGTCATTTACAGTTAAAGTTTCCCATTCTGTTCACAGAAAAGAATATGGAGAGACTCTCTGACATTCTTTCCTCATGTCCTCCTCCTGAGCCTCAAAAAAGCTCTGCCTCATCCTGGTCTTTTCGGCAGCAGAAAGCCTCAGAGCGCTGGAAAGAAGCGAGACCACACCACCTACAATGCCTTCTAGAAAAAGAGGCTGTTGGTCATCCCCTGTGTGGCCTCTGCCACGAGCCGGCTGTTATTAGGGAGATAACATTTACCTTTATTTTAAATTACTTTACCTAATTGTAATTTTTCAGTATTAAATGCTCAGTGCCCTGCCTATTTCAGCTAACATGCATGACTTTTGGGATGTTAGAAAACTGGATACCTAGAGAAAACCCACATGAAAATGAAAGTAATTCTAGGATATTAGAATAATTTTGTATTTTCCTCCCAAGGTGTAGAGAGTGTCTCCCCGAGGAGTGGTTCTGTGGAGACTGTGATGTACTTCATCACAAGAACCAGCCACTCCACAACAGGGACAGTTTAATGAATGGTTTTTTTAAACCAATTAGTCCAACAACGTGTGTTGTTAGAGTGGAAGGTGGATATGACACCATTGACCAAGGTATGCTCTCTCAAACTTGCATTTTTGATGTCACATGTCTCTTCGGCCAGCATATAATGGTAATTAGTGCTTTCTTTTTTTTTTTGGACAGCTTGCATATTGCCAACTGTGAAGGCACCCCAACTGCTCCTGTAAAGGCCACAACTTCACTGTGGTACCAGGCAAACCAGTGATTTTAATTACCATCAATGGTAAACAATATAAGCTATATATATTGGATTTCTAATTGAATTGTTGTTATATGTTTACTGTTGTGGGCGAGGCATTGTGCTTCCACTTGGAGTAAACCTTCATGTAATATCTGTTCATCTTTGACTATTTGTAGATGGAACTGTTGTAAAATGTGTCTTAATTATGTTTATTTACTTGTTCGCAAGGGCGTTATGACTTGCATCTGCCACTATTATGTCTGTCAAACTTGCAGCAGCAGTGGGGCGCCCCGGACTTGAAAGTCCTCCTTAAGGAGTGGATACTGGCGCAGCTTCGGTCAGTATTTCCACACTTTACACTTTGGACCTCCCTGAGCTCCTTTGAAGAGCTCAAGGTCATCTCTCCGGGATTCTCCAGACAGGCCTTTGCAAAGCTGCTGGAGCATCGCGCACAAAGTGTGGAGGAAGAAGTAAGTGTAAATATTCTTCTTACCATATTATACATTTATAACATTTCGCGTAAATAGACCAAAATCACAGCAATATATTGTAATTACTCTCCAGTCTGGACCTGTGTCAACCGGGAGATGCACTGCCAGGCGCAGCTTTCTGGTGGAGTTCTCCTATGCCTCGCTTAATGAGGAAGACCAGCTCTGGCTGTGGTGCTCCTTTCATTCTGCCCTGCCTGCCCGCCGGAGATGTTTGGCCTGTTTCTGCCGAATGGAAAACAGGAAGCTTGTATCGCTTTCTGCGAAGTGGAACGGTGCTGTTTTTACAATGTTGTTATTTACACTTTTTTGATTCTGTTGTATATTTCATGGATATATTTGCTAATCTTTTTTTCCTCAGTTCTGATTGGCTTTTTATTGGGCTCTTTGTAGCAGAAGCCGTGGCTGCATTTGTCGACAAAATATAGAGATCACTGAAAAATTCAAGTTTTTATTCGTCATTTTACCTTATAGGTTATATCACAAAAAATAGCCATGTATATCCCGACCCTGACTTTCTTCAAATTGCAGCTACTTCTCCTTTACCATCTACTCCAAAATCAGATAATTAGAACAAATGGTGTAAATCGTGATTTCCATTGCTTTTAACTGATTTGTCATGATGTAATGTGTGTCTTAGACCCAGGGGAAGAGGCACATGTGGGGACTCCCAGTGGACAGCAGCGAGAGGGAGACGTCAAGGAGGGCTTCGAAGCTGGATGAAAAGAAAAAAACGAAGGGATAGAGGTGGGCTGTTATGTCGCTCATGGGTTTCTTTTGAAGGCCCCTTAAATATGTACAGGGGGGAAGATATTCGCCTACCCCCTGTATTCTTCAAAAGCGAACTCATGCCAGCCAAAGCCAAGTTCTTCGCCATGGATGTGGCTTGCAAGTTACTGGCCGTACATGGAGAGAAAGCTGCAAAGTGTCCTTCCTGCTCTCCAGGAGCTGACCACCATGAAGCCATTCCTCAGTGCTTAATGCATGCTCGAGCCCATGCTACCAAATGCGAGGTATGTGAAATATTTTTGTATCACGTACATTTATATTTTTTTATATTTGATAATACCTGAAAGTAAGTAAATATCTTAAGCGCCTTATACTGTTTTAGCGTATAGTAGTATGTAGCCTCTTTGCAACAACAATTCCCAGCCAACCTGTTTACCATCAGAATTATATGGAAGTTGGGAAGAAGAACCATGGAGGGAGCAGGGAATGACTCGCTGGGGAAGAGGCTGGAGCAGGTCAACAGCTACCTGTCCCGTTGTGCTCTGACAACAAAAATACATGTCAAAGCAGGTGAGTGGAAGGTTGTTGCCCTATTATTGCATACTTTTTATAGATGACACATCATAACTTCATTATTGCCTTCAAAAGCCACGACTGGACATGCTCACAGTGCATGCAATGGGATGGAACAGAAAAAAGGTGACTCCCTTCATTCAGGCCCCTTTCCACAAGATATGGTGAAGGTGAGCCTCCTATTAAAAGGTGTTGTTGTGTCCTTTGTCATTTGCACATGGCTTTGTTGTTAATCATAGCAAGTTTTAAATCTTGATAAATGTCCATCGTCTACTGTTTATCAGACTAGTAAGAGGCTCCTGGAAGAGACTGCAAGTCTTGGAGGAACTCAAGACGAGCTAATATTGTGTCTCAGGATACATGGTTCGACGTGGATTTCCGACGTGAAGGAATGGGCATCTGGTAAGCACGACGAGATAACACCAGCTACATATCATTGTCCATGACTGTTTTGAATTTACATATTTGATCCTAAAGAGCAGGCCAATTTTAAAGGCAATAAGGCTGATTTTTCATGCCACGTAATGGAGGGATCGATCTACTGGCATATTCAGAAATGACAGTGGATATGGAATCTTCAAAGACACATAGCAAGGCCAAACTATGTGTCCAGGTCTGCTATCTCTGATTATGTTCCAGTTTACATAATTTACCATCAAAATTTGTATTACAACTCATTAAATATGTAGCACACACTTCAGTGTCCGCATTCTAAAACAGCCTAACTGATGTTCTAACAGTACATGTTTACTGCTAATATTGATGTTCTACCAGGAACATCACGATATACCATCGTGGTACTCTCTGAAGACATCCTTCTAACAGCACTGTCATGAAATAGCATTGAGGGGCTTTACCTAAGTGTGGAGGCAGTGGAAGCGAATCCCTTTTTACCGGACAGAACGGTATAACAATATAATGTTTTAGTTGCAAGATTCAACCTACTGAATTATATATATTTTTTGACTTTATATTTTAGAGATTGTATTCATACTCCCTNTGACGCTTCCACCGAAAGCTTCAGAAGATTCAAAAGTTGAACATTGCTCAACTTTTGAATCCTGAGATGCCTGGAAATCTCCGCTTTGCTTCCCACAATGCAGTTCGGCGAAAAGTGAGGCAAAGTGACGTCACCCCATTCAAAGTGAATGGGCAGAAGCGTTGGAATATTTTTGTAACGCTGCTGTGTGGACGTACCGTCAGAATCAATATAGATATTTTTTTATTTTAAAGTAAATTCAGATTGAACATAGTAAAAAAATGTAAATTATAGTGTCCGTCCATAAAAAAAAACATTACTTAAAGTGAAAACCACCCTTGAATGATGGGATAGTAGACTAAAAGCTTTAGGAATCCAAACTATAACATATAATAAGTACCCTGTATCAAGATTGAAGCAAAACAAGTTAAATGTGACCTTTTTAGAGAGATTTAGAAGAAAGAAACACTTCTGGGGTCATTTGGGTGGTTCTCTGGAACCCATCGGTCGATTTTGATGATTGACACCTCTTTTTAACCGTTAGAGCCAATAGAATCGAGGGGAGGTTCCTAAATCAATCTAAACATTACCATTGGTGAATGAGAGTGATGCGTAGCCAGAATGCCCTGGAACCGGAAGCTGTCATACACTCTCGTAGCTATCATAGCAACTAATGTGAAATCTCCGTTATTGACATAAAATGGAATGATGGATTATCAGTAATCATTTCAAAGTGACACAGACACATTGGATTAATCTTCAGCAGCATTTTTATCGTTTTAATGTCATTGAACACAACTTTTGATCAGAAACAGCAGAAGGTAAGACACATTGGACGTTTTTGCTACCTAAAGCTACGTTGTGTGATGTCTGGTTATTCTGCCCGAGTTCTGATCGCTCAGTGATGATACTTATATTTCTGGAATCTGTGGAATCTCAGCTTGCTAATCGATATCTTGTTTGTGCAGATCCGATAAGTAATAAGGGTATTTTAACGTGAGTTCTGTGCTAAGTGTGTTAGCATTTTTTCGCTCAGGGCTAATTCAGAGCCTTTGTTATTAGCCTTATGTTTCGTTTTGCTAAAAATGGTTAATATTGTCTGATTGCTGAGTTTCTTCCCGTGAAGTGGGTATGACACCTTAATAGGTTTTTAAATGTTAAGAAGTCCTCAGATGCTGTTTCTTGCAGATGTTGTGATTTCCCCCCCGGGCTTAACAGGTAAAGGTCACCTATTATGCAAAATGCACTTTTTTATATACAGTATTTTATACATAAATATGTGTCCCCGGTGTGTAAGGAGACTCTCAAAGTGTCAACCCTTTCTCTTTTCCTCCTTACCCACATCTCTAAAAACGGGGGTACAACGGAGCTGATCCAGATTTGCTGCGGTCATGACGACATTACTAAAATGTGGGCTGGCTTTACGTTGAACTCCTGGCAACGTCCCGCCCACGGCCCAACCTATCGTCCCCTATCAGAAACGTTGCTGTATCAGACACAATACGCAACGTGTTTTGGAAGTAATATGGTCTGTGTTTACATTAGCAAGCATCACTAAGACTCAGAGCTAACCTGTACTGGAGAGAATATGTGTAAAGAATCCAGATTAAAAAGGTATTGTCCTTGTGGTAAACCAGTGAGAGAGAAAGCGTTTGAGCTCCAAACTGTTTCAGAAATAATTCTTCATGTGGTTTGGAACATAATATGGCGTTTAATCACGGCAACGTTTAGCTGAGTTTCTGGTGGTAGACAGCCGTCTCTTCACAGAGCTCACTGCTTGCACACGCTCCAAACGGGCGTGGCCATTAGCAGCTCCAAAGGGGCATGGCCAGACCAATAATCAGCACTTTAAGCCCTTGCCACACGAGGACGAAAACGATAACGGACCGCAATCGTTATCAAAAAAGTCTTCACGCAACAGGCACCAGAAACGTGTCCGTTCACACGAGACCGCTCGAAAGCGCTGGAGACGCTATAGTACATATGTGACCTGCTCTATCGAAATCAGTCGCATTGACCTGAAGACACATTTTGAGTTGTATACACTGTTGGCAAGAGGAGATTCATAGCTTTCTAATGATATCAGGATTGTTTTTCTACTCCAGATATTAAGCAAAATATGTCACATTATATAATGACTGTCACCGAGTCATCATTTTGAGAAAAAGGCCTTCAAAGTTTCCTTTTCTCTGGAATCCATTGATCTGATTGATTATT